AGGCATTACCGGATATTCTAGGTTCCTTCCCGCCTAGGCAGGTACCTAGGTAGGCAGTAGGTCAGCAGTTCTTACCTTATTACAACAGTGGCAGCTGGACCGAAGAATGGAACGCATCAATACGAGGCAGATGCGGGTCCAACACCATCTTGGATATTCTTTCTTGGACTTTAACAAGTCGTAGTACCTAGGTACCTAGGTATCCAATCAACCTCACTTTCCAAGTCAACAAACAAAAGCGTCCATCTTGCTTACATCCTGATCAATCCTCCCAGGCGAACCAAGTCAACCTGCATGAAATAACACGATACATTTCTTGATTCAACAAAAAGAGCACTCGCTACGATTGGCTACATGCTACATATCTGGACCTGCCTTCCTAGACATACAGCGCCTGATCGGATCGGCAGTGCCAAAAGTATTACTGCAACGGCTTATTACAACCTTACAGATATTCAACCCACTCGATCAGGCGGGGAAGATAAACGGAGATGTATCTCGCACCGCACTGCAGCAACAGGGAGCCCTGACCGGAAAGCCAAGTTCCCTTCGTACCCATGCTCATTCGACGCGATACGATTCCCTATTCAAGAAGCAGACTTGTCATGTTTAAGAAAGCCCCTGCTATTGACAAGTATGGCCGCAGGCTGGCCATTGCTTGTGTGTAATACGACATATTACCCGTAGCATTGCAGATCACGCATGTATCGGAGAGTACATATCGTCGCTACGTACAGCACTAGGGCCGCTGGTGCTGAATTTTCTGACAAACCAGGGACTGGACTCAGCAAGACGACCAGACGAGAATCTCCCACATCGAAATAGGCTGTGCCGCTGTCGTCATTACTCGCGGTTATCCTAATGAATTGTCCGATTTGCCAGACACTACACCAAACCACCATCTGAGCCCTCCTATGTTTACAGATTTGCTTCGGTGTGGCGTGCAGCCAAAAGGCATGCTGTAAAATTGACAGCGGTGGCACGTTCATCTTATCTTCTGGCCTTAGGGTGCCTATCTGCTAGGATCCGACAGGATCACTCCCTGCAACGATTGATTTGCGCCGCGTGGGAAGCTCAAGGACACTCCAGGTAGGGGCCGGGCACATGGCAGTGGACCCTTTCCGTCTCGACATGTAAGGCCAACCCTGCTGTCAGCGGCCCTTTTTACGTCCTCTACAGTGTTGGAAATAACCCTAACGCTTGAATTGGACGTCACTAGCCATCAGATGCCCTTCTGAGCTCGCTGTGCCGCTGCTGGATGTCGAAACATCCTTGACTGATGCACTGGATTAGGGGCCTGCACTATCAAAGTCTATGTTCAACTCTCTCCCTTCAATATCGTGCAATAGGTGGCTTGCGCGCTTCGGGTGGCAGCGCCATTGCGGCGGTAGTCAGCTATGGTGTTGCCCATCGTACGAGTCCAAAGGCCGCGACCACAGTCTGTTTTGCGAAAGGATCCAAGACAATGCAGCCCAAGCCTTACAATGGCGTTCTTAGCCTGCAATTTCTCGCTGGCTCCTCAAACCCCCCGCAAACCGGCATCGTTGGACTGCAATACCACGATAGTCGATGGATCCAACCCAAATTAGAGACACTGGTTTTACTTTTCATCCCACATTCGGGTACTTTTTCCCTCGAGTCCAGATTCGAAGATATGCCCGGCAGCTTGGAGATAGTGGGCGGGGTCCCTCCCTGCACAACCCTTCATCAGTATGGACAGAACCGAGCAAATGATGGGAGAAGAATTTCCTGCAGGCCGGCTACTGTACTGTGCGATCATTTTATTTGGGGTGTCATCTTCATCTCTTTAACCCCCACCACTCAGGAACCAGGGCTCAGGCTGGCAAGCGTCTCGAGGGACTATCAGGGACAGGGACGATAGATCGACTGGCAGTTTCAGAAAGTGCAATGCCATGTTACTCTCACACTCATGTCTGTGGCCCCGCGAGAGCTGTCTGTCTGGAAAATAAGGGCTCAAACCGGACCTTCACTTGCACAAGATGTGATGTTCGGCCCGTTGTCAGGCTCAACTATGACGGCTGGTGCCGTGCTTGGGGTTCCGGTAGGGGCAGCGCTAGTAAATTTCCGCGTCTGGACTGGAAATGATCTGACAAGATGAGGTTCAAGTCTGAGTTCCAGGGACCAGGCTTCTAATTTAGCCAAGACTGACACTATCTTAGTAGGTTCTCCTAGTCGCCAATATCATACGTCACCTGACAGGCATTGTATTGAAGTTCAAGCAATTTGAGGGGCTGAAAGCAAGTATTCTTTCACTCTTGGTCAGATCAATAGCTTTGTCGATGGAGAACGCGTACAGCAACAGCACAGCACGGATCAATGGTCCAATGGATGCTGCTAGGTGAGAAAATTGCAGGATCTAAAGAGCTTTGCCCTCTCTCGTGATCGACAGGATCTAGTCTATGCTAGGCACCTCATCTCATCTTCGTCTCTGGGGAAACAGACCAGACGAATATTTTCCTGGCCGATTCAGACGCCGTATCCATGCCTGGGTGCAAATTCCATGTTGGCTTGATGCAACTTACCATGCAATTGTGCGGTAGAAGCCATTCTATCAAGAGCGTACTCCAGCAACTCTTCAGCACCATCACCATCACCATCACCATCACCATCACCATCACCATCACCATCACCATCACCATTGCAAATCTTTCCGCGTCGCCTGCGGTTGTTTTAGCTAGGTTCCAAGTGTTTCAAGTTGCTTGCCTGAGTTGCATCAACTAATGTTCAACGAAGGATGGAGGCTCTCCCGGACAAGCACTGTATGACACAAGGCATCAATGATCACGGGCCCAGAGGCCTGGGACGCGGCCGCGTGCTTGCAGATTGTGTTAGTTCTCTTCTACGGGTGACTGCATGCCTGTTTCTTACATGTTAATGCGATAGTAATCTTCCAGGGCTGGCAGAAACAACCAAGAGGTGAGAGTTGAGGCAGCCGTTGCCAATCCGTCGTTGGGACCCTCCCATAAGGGTAGGGTCTTAAATTTGCGATGCCTCCTCCGTCTGTTTCATTGGAGAAGTCTCGCAAACCTGACCAGCAGGGTACAGTTCCTTGGACTGAATCTCGTGTGCGAATGTGTCAAAGTGTTTAGCTGTCTCAGGGAGCATTACAGATCCCTGGTACACAACTCAAGTGTTGTAGCCAATCTAAAGGTCAGGACTGCGAGGTGCAGCTGATTGTCTATTAGTTCCGTTTTGTGTACAGGTCGCTCTGAACGTCGCTCAACTGAGGCATAAGAGATCCGAAGACCCTCGGCTTGACCAGCTGAAAGACCAATACATTGTTCGTTATGTGCCTGTCTTGGAATCGAGCCTGTCTCAGATTCCCTCTAGATTGTGGCCTGATGTTGCTGCCAGAAGCAACTTCATGAGGCTTGGGTACGAATACCGTCTCGGTCAACTGGCTATAGTGCCTATAGGCCTACGCCCGTTCACCTGCGAATTGCCCTACGAGATAAGAAAAAGCAAAAGGCACGTTCATTCCCAATCTAACATTGACGTCATAAGAGCCTGTTCAGCTTATCCGAGGAGCTGAGAAGGGAGCTGATAGAGCAGCCCGTATACTTGGGCCTGGTCGCCCATTAGTCCTTACATGATCCACGACTCTCGAGCGTTGGGGTGATCCCGACCTCCTCGTTGGCCGCCGATGAAACAAGGCCGATGATGGATCGCTGGATGCATCCCGTTGCTAATGTTAGTGCTAAGATGTGTCGTCAATTCCGTTGCCGTGGCTCTCTCCCTTCTTCTCAGGGCCAGTTCGAGAATGTGGCGCATCAACTTGCTTCTTCGAATGTCTCGCTCCCTGGGGTCACCGAGGGCCTGGGTCGACCGACGCCAAACCCGTCATGATGAACTACGATCGGCATTGAAACGATACAGTACGACGTGTACGCGGGACGCGCCCCTAAGATTGCATAGCTCATAGACTTGAGGTATGCTCATACTTAGGACGTCTAATACAAGTGATCGCCCATGGTGCATGTGCGCGTCGGCGAATTTACGAGGCTCTAGCTTACAATGAGACATCAGTTGGTCGTGATATATCCAACATCAATACTGAGAAAAAGTTCCCTTAATCGTTGTAACTACCCAACGAGCTAACAACGGATGGTCCTAGGATACTGACGATGGGCTCGGGACCGAGTTTACGCCACACGTGGTATATAGCTGAAACAGAGGCAGAGTGATCAGTTATCGAAGTTTACATACTATAGACGGATGAATCTATTGTACTATACACATGGCATTAGACCTGCGTGGCATACCTGATAAGGAAATAAGATAAGACAAAAAACGCCTGAATCATAACTCCTTTCGCCGATCATCCTACAACATGATTTGCCAGATGGGCTTCAGCAATCCAGCTCGGGTAGTGTCTGCCGTAGATGTTCGGGTGTCTCATATTCAAGACTCGTTCTCGACGACTCTCGGAAGTTAGCATTAGCAAAGATATGAGACATATCTCAAGCGGAGTGGCATTTTTGTATCCCTTGACCGATCGAACTGTGGCGTAGCACAACAAAATTCAGACTCGCTTGGCTCGCTGCGGCGTTACCTTCACCATGCCAATCTAGCGCAGAATATGATAGAAAACACGGCACAAGATACATCACGACTCTGAGCCAGGCATGCAGACGCCAGAGTCAGACTCACTCAGCTGTCTCGAATGGAGACAAGCATGCGTATGCGTAAGGGGGTGATGGCTGGAGTTGGCGGGAAGGACAACGTGGGATCACGGGATAGGGGGGGTTGTAAGACGAGCAGCCGTTTTGTGAACCGGATAGGTGCGTCGCAAAGAGGGCTGATTTGGGTCACATTTGTGGGATCGAGTCAATCACCATCACCGCAAGGAGTAGATACTTGTGACGCAGTTGGGCAAGTCGCCACGAGACGTTTCAGAGATACAGAGCAGGTCGAAGCGCGTCAACAAGCTCCTTATGTACGAGGTGATGGCATAGCCGACAAAGGTCCTTTCGAGTGCTTTACAGTCGACTCTCGATGCCTCGGTAGTTATTGTCCTCGGCCCAATGGGAGTCTGGCCAGACAAGACGAATCGCTTCCCAGATATGGCTATTCAAGACATCTGTTAGTGGAACATAACTCTTATTGTCGGGCATAACATATGGCAGGGTTGAGTGTATCACGGGAAAACAGGTTAAGGAAAGGGTTGGCTTACCTGACGTGAAGAATCTCGAGTCCGTCCTTGACCTCTTGTGGGAGATCTTTGACATCCTTGCGGTTCTGGGCCGGAAGTAGCACAGTCTTGACGCCAGCTCGGAGGGCGCCGATGAGTTTCTCCTTGATACCTCCGACGGCTGTAACTCTGCCCCGGAGAGAAATCTCACCCTATTGCACAAAAAGTCGTCAGTATACTGAATTATCACAAGCCAACCGCTTGAATGACAACGTACCGTCATTGCCATCGTTGGTGGCACCGGCTTCCCCGAGAAGAGAGAGATGAGTGCGATTGCCTGGCCGATACCACTACTGGGGCCGTCCTTAGGGATAGCACCAGATGGGCAGTGAACGTGAATACTGCGCTCCTTCATGATATCAGTAGTAGGCTCCGGGGTTAAACCCAGCTCGAAAGCATGTGCCTTAACCCAGGTCAAGGCAACCTCAACGCTTTCCTTGAGGACATCGCCGAGTTTGCCTGTAAGCTGAACTCGTCCATTACCGGGCATATCGGCAACCTCGATGAAGAGGATGCTTCCATTACCTCCGGAACTATAAGCTACCAGGCCTGTGACAATACCCGGGCGGCTCGTCTTTTCAGCAATCTCTTCTTCGTACTTCTCAATACCCAAAATGTTCTCAATATCTTCCACGCTCAGCTCGGGCCGGTAGTGATCCAAATGGTTTGTATCCTTAGCCTCAGCGTATTCAACAGCTTTAGCGCGACAGACTGATCCAATCTCTCGCTCCAAGTTACGAACTCCAGATTCGCGAGTGTAGGATTCGATGATCTTGGAAACAACATCTTGGTTGAAGGCGACCTGACTCTCAGACAGTCCATTGACTCTAATCTGCTTGGGGACAAGATGTTGCATTGCAATATGCCGTTTCTCAAGTGTAGTATAGCCGGGGATGTAGATGGTCTCCATTCGATCCAATAGAGGAGCGGGAATAGTGTCAAGGCTGTTCGCAGTAGCAATGAAGAGAATCTTCGAGAGGTCAATAGGCATGCCGACATAGTGGTCCTGGAAGTTATGGTTTTGCTCGGGGTCAAGGACCTCCAACATAGCTGCTGAGGGATCGCCATGGACGCTAGCATGACCAATCTTGTCGATTTCATCGAGGAGAATGACGGGGTTAGCAACGCCAACTTTTCTCAAGCCCTGAACAATCAGACCTGGCATAGCCGCGACGTAGGTCCTTCGGTGACCTCTAATCTCCGCTTCATCTCGAACACCTCCAAGGGAGATACGGTGGAACTTGCGGCCAAGGGCCGTGGCGACTGACCTGGCAAGACTGGTCTTGCCAACACCAGGAGGGCCTGCCAGGAGCATAATAGGGGACTTGTCGACCTGACGCTGAGACTTGAGGATTTCAAGCTTAGCCGCCTCGGGCTTTGCGACATCCTCGGCTCTCGGGCCTTCCGTCGCGTTCTCGTTCTCTTGCCTCTCCTGGTTTCCTTGCTCGTCGGCGGAAGCGGGCTGCACCATCTCCTGCTCTGCCTTCTTGATCTTCTCCTCAACATCGTCATTGATCGACTGCTTGAGCCTCAAGACAGCCAGGTACTCGATCAGCCTCTTCTTGACATTGTCCAAGCCATAGTGGTCATCGTCGAGCTGCCTTCTTGCCCTACGCAGAGTCTCGGGGCCTAAGCGATCGTCTGTGGTGACTGTCCAGGGAATCTCAGCCAAGGTTTCTAACCAATTACGAGTCACTTGATATTCTTGGTTCATAGGTTGCATCTTTTGAAGGCGCCTTAACTCGCGGTCTACGGCCTTGGCAGCTTCGGCTGGAAGTTTGGCGTTCGAAAGTTTGCGCTTGAGCTCATCGAGCTCGTTAGCCTCCTGGTCGTCATTTTGGTCGTGTCCGCCAGGCATTTGCCCATTAGGTGGGACAAATGCCATGCCCGGGCCCGGGGGTAGTGAGCCTGGCTTTTTCTGGTTCTCGTTCAAACGATCCAAGATTTGAACAGGCATGGTTGTGAATGTGGTGATCTTGAAGTTGTTCTTGATGCCGCCGACCTGTCGTTCCAGCAACTCAATGACCTTTGTGAGGCGCACCTTGACATCGAGAGCCGCAAGAACCTCAAGTTTCTCTTCATGCGTACTCTCTACCAAGTTCGCCATAAAGTCGGCCAGAAGGCCAGCCTCCTTCAATTCCTTTCGCATGATGAGCATTTCCAGTCGTCTCGTAAGGACTGGTGAAAGAATCGGACCATCTCGGGTTCGGGGGAGGAGGGAAGAAATCCTTAGTATCGTAACTAATTCGCGAGATCGGGTCTTGAAGAGCGCGAATAGGTCTTGCGTCTGTTTATCGGTAGCGCTGTCTAAACAGAACTGTCAATCACAAGGCATAAACAAAAAGTTCAAGGGAACCGCATACTATCTTCATGGAAATAGGTCACTTTGGCTTCGAAATAAGGGCGCTCGCGTGTGAAGTTCTCAATGCGAACGCGGGTGGTACCTTCAACGCGCAAGGAAAATTCACCAGTTCCTCTTCCATCGATACCAATGATTTTAGCCGCTGTACCAAACGTGAAGAGATCATCCTTCTTGGCGGAGCCCGGAAGCACGTTCTCAATCGTAGCTGGGTCTATTTCTTCGGCATCGCCAATAAGTCGCTGGCCATTACCACTGATAAGGGGGGATGAAATTGGAACACAGGCGATAGGGATGCTGTCAATGCGCGTATCAGGGCCCCTCGAAGCAGCTTGTTCGTAGACGTGAGCGAGCAGGGCAGGGATATCGGGTCGGTTTGACGATACTGGGATGCGCTGGACGAGGCCGGGGAGGAGAATGGTGCCTCGTGCGAGCGGTATCAGGGGAAGGTTGGCAGTCTGTGGCTTTGCCATGATGCCAGTGTGTCGTTGGATATGGGACTGATTATGACTTCAAAAGGATGGAAGCAACGCTATACAAGATAAGCAAAGTAGAAGTGTCAAGACGCTTTGAGAGGTGAATTAAAAAAGTGGACAAGAGTTGTTGATGTCAGGTCAGATAGAAGAAGTACGGTAGCTGACGGATGCGATGGCCGACGGTCCAAGACCTCAACCCAGGGTGTGATTGGGAAGGAAACCTGGAGAAACACGGGGGCGAAGGCCGAAGCCGGGGTGCGTGATTCCAACGTCCCACTTTTGGCCGAGGTTGAAGCTACTATGTACTAACTCAGCTCTTATCCGTCGATCATTCAAGAACATCAATGATGCCAACACACCTGGAAAGTAGCGGAGAAGAGTCGGGAAGCTGTAGAAGGTTCTAAGCGGTACTATGCTCTTCCATTGCGTGTATCGCTTGGTGAAGATGGATGGTGTATTGAAGATGTCGGCAGATGCATGATCGACTTCCATATTGAAACAGTGCAAGTAAACAAACAACGGCAATTGATATAGTATCATCCAAATTCGATTTCCCGAATCACTGTCGTCATGCATATGTCAGAGATCAAACAATCAGCATATGATTGCGAATATCTGTCTACGTCAACTTCAGTTGTTGGACACATTGTTACGTCCTCCCGTCTAGGTAGGCACGATAACGTAGGTATCACTCACACGTGCCTTCCATCACTACCTCGACAGCTAGATGACTAAGGTAGTCCCACACCGTGATAGAAGGCGGGGCACCAAAGTAGAATCCATTAAACTCCAGTCGCGTTTGACGCGTCTCATTCTTCCCATCGTGAGCTTTGCCTGTCTGCCTGCCTAGTTCAACTCAACACCATACAACCAACACCATGTGTATGTACTCCCCAGTTACGAAATCTCTGCTGCTAAGGCACCGCTAACATAAGCACTTTAGCTGCTTACGCTGGATTCACAAAAACAAGTTACGGTGCCCAAGGGGGCGATGACTCTGGTGGTTTTTTCGCTGGAGGTTCACAGCAGGGCAGCCAAGGCGGTGGCGGCAAGGTACACACATCAACTCTTCTCCAACTCACCACTAGCAATGTTCTAACAATCAATAGTCATATCAGGATGAGTCCTTGCGTCCCGTCACCATTAAGCAGATCCTCGATGCCGAAGAGGCCTACGCCGGCGCCGACTTCAAAATCGACGGTTCCCCCGTGACTCAAATCACATTCGTTGGACAAGTTCGCAACGTCCAGCCCCAACCTACAAATATCACCCTCAAGATCGATGACGGCACTGGCCAGATTGAGGTCAAGAAGTGGATTGATGTCGACAAGACCGAAGATAATGAATCCAGTTTCGAGCTCGAGTCTTACGTTCGCATTTGGGGCCGCCTCAAGTCCTTCAACAACAAGCGCCACGTCGGTGCGCATGTCATTCGACCCGTTGCCGAATTCGACGAGGTCAACTACCACATGCTAGAGGCCACATACGTTCATCTGTATTTCACAAAGGGACCTCTCGGCGGTCAAGGTGGAGGCGCCAATGGAGATGATGGCATGTTTGTGGATGGTGGTAACTACAATGACAATGCTGGTGGCAACACCAGCCAGTCGCACAGCAAGATCGCTGGTTGCAGCCCATTGGCCAAGAAGATGTTCACTTTTATGAGCGAGACGCCTGGAGGCAATGAGGGTGTTCACGTTAACATCATTACCAGCTCGACCGGCATGTCGGTGCGAGATGCTCTCACAGCCGCTGATGAACTGCTCGGCCAGGGTCTCATCTACACAACAGTTGATGATGAGACATGGGCAATCCTGGAGTACTAGTTTGGAGGTTTGCAAGGGGTATTTCCGAACAACGTCGATATATGTGAATACAAACTACAAAAGCCGGTTGCAAGGTGTTCAAGGTTACAGGTGGTACAGTTTATGAAGGAATGACAAACATATTAGGGTTATTTCTCTCTAATGAAAGACTCGAGCTAGTCGGGAATTCTGCGAAAGCAGAGCATATAGACAGAAATTGCGGTAGAGACAGTGTCTGTTACTAGACATGCAATAAAAAAAAATGAAGGTCAAAGTCCAGTCTGCTTCATCACCAAAACACGACGGTGCACCCAAAAAGAAGAACATCAAACACGCTCGAACGATCACAACTCACATCACAGCACATTTCCAATCTTGCTGCGCGTTGGTAGTATCTTCATCTCCGACTTCAGCCTCTGATCCAGTGTCGGCATTTGGCAAGATCAGAGGCTCGTTTCCCTAGAATCTGACCGCGCTGCTGACGGCAGACACGACAATGGAGCCGCAAGCAGGGCGCGGCATCTGTTGAGGTTCACGAACCATGATCCACATCTTGATGGGCTCGGGGCTGCCTTTGAAGACAACGTCGCGCTTGACCTCGAAGCCGAACTTTTCGTAGTATCCGTTGTTTCGCTCTGTGCTAGACTCAAGATACATGGGACGCTGTTCAGCATCGGCCTACCCCTTGTTAGCCTGACAACCAGAGATAGATCAACGAGGAACTTACTTTAGCAACCATATCGCGAATCAACTTTCCGGCATATCCCCTTCCTTGGGCATTAGGCTTGGTACCGATGTATACGAGATAGTAGTGATCCCTCTCGCCCATGACTTCCAGTTTGGTCTGGTCCAGAACGGGCAGCATCTCATCATAGTATCGTCTCCGTCCCTCGGCCGATAATTGATAGCTTAGTTTCCATAATCCACTACGGATGGAAGTCCACCAGTCATCCATTTGTTGACGTGGTGCGAGCCTGTAGTTTTATTAGCTTGATATCGAAGAGAGAACAGAGCTACATACCAAAGAGCTAAAGCTTCGTAGTCTGACCCAATAGCTGTCACAATACCTTTATAGCAGTGTGCCGAGACCATATAAGTCATGTAGTCAACGTGAAGCTTCCACTTCTGTTCATCTGAGTAATCGACCATGTCATCGCCGTCAAGTAGATACTGACTCATCGCATCAGTTGCGAAAGCCTGAGCCAGAGAGCTACCGGCTGCCGCAGACTCGTTCGCATGAACGAGACGAACAGAAGTTTCCCACGCAGATGGTATGAGAGAGCGTTGTGGCCACTTGGCTACCGTCTTGGATCCCTTGATACCGCTATTGCAATTCTTGCTGATCTCCATGGCTGCAGTTTAACCGGTATTTGATTTATTCGCTTTACCTAGGGGGTCCCTTTCCTGGCAAAGAAAGGGACGCCGACTTGTATTAAGCATAACAGGTCCGTGAAGAAGCGTCCAAACTTACATTGTATATTCTGGCAATTGTCGCCCGTATGAACTCGTGATAATTGAGTTCTTGATACGGACGTAAACCTGGAAGGGTGTCTCAGACAGTTAAGGCTGGTACGAACTTCAACCGACATCAAGGTAGTACTTGAGCGGGCCAGGCTCGCGATCACGGCTTAGTGGGAGAGTTTTGCGTCAAGCGGGATTCTTCGACGAAGCGTAGCGTATGGGATTTTCACGAAGACGGTTGAGGTTGTGTAAAGTGGGAGTGTTATGAATGGTCTGGAGTAGTCAACAACCTTCAATAATGCAAGGTTGACAATAGCAAGCAGCACGTAGTAACGGCGATAGCAAGACGACAAGTTGGCTATTCTTCACAGCAATCTTCTCGAAGAGAAGGCTTAGCAAGATATCCTGACTGAGGTTCCTGTTAGTGGCCGGCCGCTGTGGTCTTGTTGGGATAGAATATTTGAGCAAAACGGTGTTTATGTGACAGTTCAGTGACTGGGTAGATGAGTGAGGAACAAAGACGAGAGTAAGAGATAAGAAATAGATGGGGATTAAGTAGGGCGAGTACTAGATAGACATGTCGTGTACACCCCAATCTGCAGCATAGATACATGATCTGTAGGAAGCGCCTTGAACCAGAAGCCGATATCATTATTGGTCAGATAATTGTATGACAGCCATCATCGTGGGGCAGCCACTAGCTCCGGGGTCCATTGTGAGACAAGCGGAGAGCAGCTTTGGAATCAAGGCGAGATGGCGAAGTTAAGGGCACAGTGTATGCTGACTGACGATCATGGACCACATGATCAAGCTGCAGGGCCGTGGGGGTGAGGCGGGACTCGCCTTAACAAACCAGATCGTGAGTTTGTGCCCGAGATCCACGTCCATCCAGTCAATGTGTAGACAACAAACACACTTATCAAGCCATTCGATATTGATAAGCATGGTACATGGATAAACATACAGTGAGTGTCTCAAATAGAAGCTGAGTATCGAGTCAAGACCCAAGCTACCAGCAGCTGCAAATGTAATTTATGATGGCCAACTAACACATGTGTACAGTAGTAGCTGTCAAAGGGCATCATGCTGCCTGCTTTGTTGGTGGATGACAACGGCTTGCGACGGCACCTAGGCCCAGATCGCTGGTCACTGAGCGGTACTGTGTCACTTGACTAGTGCAATTTGTTTGCTAACCCGGACACGACGGTGAAGCAGGAATCATGAATTGGAGACAACGAATCTTCTGTGCATAAAAGGTTCAGCCATCAAACTGAACATAAAATAGGCCTGTCTCAACTGAGCTTAACCTACTAGCCGGTGGATGTATGCCGATATTGATAGCCAAAGCTATATTGAGGTCTGATAAAAGACCAATGACAGGCTTTGCAATTCGAACATCCTCATTTCATCATATATGATAGTGAATTGCTCGGCTTGTCTCTGTTCAACAAACTTGAACCGGATTCGTAAAACTGTTCGGGACCTTTTCGATTTTATTAAGTCGAAGCCAAGTAGTGAATAATGTAAATTAAAACAGCTCTAGACGTCGTGCAAATCTGACACAAAGTTCAAGAGAGGATATCTATGTTGTTTGAATGCGAATATTCAACGCGCCAAACCGAAGTTTCTGCGACTGGCGACAAGTCGTCTATGCTTTCGATTTTCGATGTTTTCCTTCCCAATTCGTTCCCCATAAGTCATTACATACGTCGAATCTCCTGCTCGTTCAAGTACTTGTCGAGGCCAGAGTCAAGGTTCTGCCACCACTCGAAGAGCATAGAGTTGCAAATGAGCTTGAACCAAGGAGTGAAGAGCAGGCTGGGGTCGTCGAATTGTTGCTTGAGCTTCTCGGGAGTGACGTATTGGGTATCTCGGACCTCGTTCTTGTTGATATCGAGATCAACGTTGGCCTTGATAAAGAGAATGTAATCAACTGTGTTTCTATGTTAGACTTTGCAGCATCAAAGAATTGGCTTGCACATACTCTCGTGCTCACCCCACTTTCCGTCACTGGGAGCCTTGTAGTGAATACGGGTCAGGAAGCGGAAGTCCTCGAAAGGAACCTGCTCCTTCTTGATGCCCAATTCATGCTCAAGCTTGCGCTGGGCGGCTCTCTTGACACCAGCAATAGAGTCCTCAAGAGTAGAACCAGTCTCAGTAGGGATGTGAAGAGGGTGGGAGCAGCAGGTGTTGGTCCACATGTCGGGGAAGGTGATCTTCTCGGTAGCGCGCTGCTGGAGGAGGAGCTCGTTCTTATCGTTGAAGAGGAAGACAGAGAAGGCACGGTGAAGGAGGCCCTTGTCGATGTTGGTCATGAGATGGCCTGGCAAGGTCTAAGTCAGTAAGGGGTAATGACTGTGGTGGTGAAAGTCGACATACAGATCTTCTTGCTGGCTGTGCCAATTGGCTTGTCATTCTCGTCAAGGACAATGCAGACCTCGTCCATAAGACGGATCTGCTCCTCATCGTGACCGGAGAGAGGCTCTGAGCTGGTATCGATGTCTGGGAAGAGACGGAGCATAGACTCAGCCGTGATGGGCTGGTTGGTGGTGGTGGTGGTAGTTGTTGTAGACATTGTGAATTAGACGGTATCCAAAGGTGTTTGAGTAAGGTGACTTGGCAGATTCGCAATGCGCCGGGACAGTGAGTGTATATGAAGGATCAGAACAATGGCGAGCGGTCTGAAAGACCCAGCGATTAATTTTAAGGGTCACTGGCGTCGCGCGCTCTTGCCTGGGTTTGCCCCTCCAAAAAGTTATCGGGTGTGGCAGCCGCGCCCCTCCACCCGCTGTTGATCCACAGGCCGCTACAAATGCAACCACTGAGGATCGAGTCCAGGGACGCTTCTCTCCAGGTTCCTACCAAATTGGGTAGTGGGGCTCAACCACTCAAATGACGGTTGGCCAGTCAGTGACAGCCATCTCGGTGAACCTCTTCTCGTTTTAGCGTAAGGCCGGCCATAGATAGACTCAAGTACAGTAATGACTGACTACAGACATAAAAATGCATGATCGACTTCGGTTCACAACTCTTAGTGTAACGCAATATCTGTAGGTATTTGTGGAGAGCGGATTACCCTGTCCTCTAGGCTGGTAGGTGACTAGCAGTATCAACATCTCCTTGATACCCCGGCTGTGCACATCCCGCATGTCCAATTGTCTACCTAGCCAAGACGAAGTCCAAAAGAGGGAAACAGACCTTCTACCCTGGAACTTTACTAATATATGTAAAGACATGATTACATGATGATAGAGGCGCAGGATGTGCACAGCTGGGGAATCAAGAGATAGCGACATGGAGGCCTTGACGTCGCAACGTTTCAGGATTGACTTTTGTCTCCCAGTGTTCTTACCGAATCTGACTATGACACTTGTCGGTTCTTGACTCAAATAGACTTCCAATAAATATACTTGGAATTAACATTGTATATGCTGCTATTCAACTTATACACTCAATTCTACATGAACTGTCCAGTAAGATTATGCGCTAATTTGGATATTGGCTAAGCGGGGGGCCGCAGATGCCCAGGTGCCAGGCATTCATCAGGGGAAGTGGCTGGAGAGCTATGACTTCGTCATTCAACCTCCATTTCCCTACCTTACCCTACCTTAGAACGGCCTCATCGTCTCTCCATTAATTCAATACACTCTGCGGTCGCCGCCAAAACGATTGCGATAATTCCTTTCTCCACCTAGACGATAAGCGCTCTTTTTCTTGACTTACTTCGGAATCACATCCACCAGGCTGCCCAGAGCACACGGACGTAATCATGGCAGCGCCCAAGATCGAGGAGCAAGAAATCGAAACCTACTGGAATATTTTCTCTGCGCGAACGGGAGGCGGCAAGTTCCTGACTGGCGAACAAGCTGCTCCGGTTCTGAAGAACAGTGGATTGCGAGATGATCAACTAGAGCGTGTATGGGACCTTGCGGATGTGGATAACGATGGAAACCTCGATTTCGAGGAGTTTTGTGTCGCTATGCGCATTATCTTTGATATCTTGAACGGAGTACGATACAGTCGCCAAGAGAGGCCGCAATATAGAAGCTGACTTGTTCCAGGAATACGCGGACGTGCCGACGACATTGCCTGACTGGCTTGTCCCCGAGTCCAAGGCTCATTTGGTGCAAGCCACCCAAGCTATCACAGGAAAGTCGGTGCAATTCGAGCAAGTTGAGGATGATTCGGAAGATCTTGGGCTCAAGGATGGCTTCGAGTGGTACATGAAGCCTGCGGACAAGTCCAAATATGAACAAATCTACCAAGAGAACAGAAACGCGCGCGGCGAAGTCGACTGTAAGTCTGCAAGTATCAGTGCTAAAGAAGATTGCTGACAAGAGTAGTCAATGCGCTCAGCGATCTCTACGAGTCCCTCGACGTCCCCGATACCGATATCCGATCCGCTTGGAACCTGATCAACCCTTCGGCGCAATCGACCATCAACAAGGACGCATGCCTTGCTTTTCTACATATCCTTAATTACCGACACGAAGGTTTCCGAATTCCCCGTGCCGTTCCCGCGTCTCTGCGTTCCAGTTTCGAGCGCAACCAGATCGACTACCAAGTCGACAACCAGCGAACCGGTGCCAACTCGCGATGGGCTACCAAGGCCGATGACACCACCAGCACTGGTCGCAAAGCCAAGTTCGGCGACCAATACCTAACGCGCCTAGGCCGAAGCGGCTTCAAGTCTGCCGGCACGGACTTTTCGACAGAAAAGACGGAGGATTGGGAGGAGGTTCGTTTGAAGCGCAAGCTCCAGGATCTCGAGGATAAGATTAAGAAGGTGGAGGAGATCGCGGAGCGCCGGAAAGGCGGCAAACGCGACTCTAAGCCTGCGCTTGTCAAGAAGGAACTAGATCAGCTCCTGGAATACAAGCGTAGAGAGCTCAGGGAGCTAGAGGAGGGGACTGGCAAGAGCGCGGCTGGAGGAAGTCTTAAGAGCATACAAGAGGATCTCCAGACGGTGCGTGAGCAGGTTGAGGGTCTGGAGACTCATTTGAGGACGCGCGAGCAAGTTCTTGGAGAGATCCGAAGGGAGATTGAAGACGAGAAGAGGGGGTAGGCGGATTTAATTAGACTACGGAGTGGGTATGTTGCTTTTTCTTTGTACGAATATCATGGCGCTTTCTTGAATAGGATATTAGGCGTTCCACCACTCGTACTTTTTATCACCACATAGTCCCATTGGCGTACTTTTTCGTACGCTCAAGACCTAACGTCCGACCCTTGACTGTCCATACAGCTAGTGACGGCACAGGGACTTTGCCTAGCCGTCCAGCTCCACGACTTCGACCCGTGGCGCATATAAAAGCGTCCACCCGAGGACCACTCACGGGTTGTGGCTCTTTGCCTTTGAGCACTAGATCAATGTTCTTATAGACACCAGCAGCCTGGGCCTCTGTAATTAGAAAACCAGCACGAGGTTTGGACACAACGTCTCCAACCGCCCACACACCACTTGCGGCTTTGACGCGCATCTCATCGTCCACATCTGCGTAGCCATGTTCGTTAAGCCACTCCTTGGGTAGGAATCCTGAATTGGGTCGGAGCCCCATAGTCGCCAGGAAAACATCTGTTGCTATACTTTCGCCATTCGACAACTTTACAAGCGTTTTGCCATCGGGAAGTTCGGTAGTCTCCTCAGAGCGAACACTGGCACGGATCTCAACTCCTAAACGGCGGAGTTCGGATTCAGCACGGCCGGCAATCGAGTCTCCTCCAAGAACTTTATCGTCGGCTGAGAGGAGCACAACAGTAGTCGAAGGATAAGCATACTGGATTTCGCCTGCCAGCTCAACACCTGTAGCTCCGGCACCAGCGATAACAACATGCGTAGCCCTCTCGACCTTGTCAGCGGTGCGGTGAAGACTTGCTACGAGCTCTTCATGTGAGGTGGAAGCCTTCCATGGAAGTGATGGGTCAACGGTCTCGGCTCCGGTAGCAATGACAAGGTGGTCATATTTCAGCTTCGTGCTGGCTCCAGTCTCTGGTTCAACCGTTACGGTGCGCGCTTCAGGATCAACGGCCGATGCAGTGCCGACGATGAAGTGAGCACTTCCAGGAGGATATTGGTCCAGGCCGGGCTGAATAGGAGCGAAGATCTCCTCGTCTTTTACAACACCTGGAACAATGGCGCGAACGGATGCGAGGTTCCAGTAGAAGTGGCTATTCTAAAAATTTGTCAGTTTGTTGCATTGACTTGTCCAAGTTTATGGAGTACCTTGGAGACAAGTATAACTTTGAGGTCTTCCTGGTGAGGCCGGGTGTACTTGAGAAGCTGGTGGGTGACCGCCATACCGCCCAGGCTTCCACCCAAGACAACCACCGTTTGTGTCATTTTAGCAAATCGATTTAGGACGAGGATTGGTGTTCAGGTAGGTCTCATGTAAGCTTGAATATTGTGGTTGATTTGACTATCTATTGCTCTTGTTAAGTGTAGATAGTGGCGGAGAGACATGTGAAAAGACAGTTTAACACTGACTAGGATGTACCCAGGTAAGTAAGTTTGTTCCGTCCCGATAATCTCGGAAAGCGGTCTATGACGAGTTCAAGGCTATGTAGCAAACGAATAGTCCGTAACGGCTTTGGTTTCAGGCTCGTTGCGGTATCAAGTTTCATTCAATGAAGCTATCGTAGCTTTTATTGCAACAGGAGTTTTGATAAGCGGCCTGTGCATTGGATTGAGTAGTTGCGCTCGTCCGACTCTTGTCGCAACAAAAACTGAGTCTACTAGACCTCCACCATAAAGACATGGTCATAAGTGCCTAGCTATTGTTATTTCCGTCGAGTTTCATTCTAGAACATTGACTCTCTCATATTGAAACGATGTCAAGTGTGTTTTACTGCAGGTAATATCTGGATATACCTATGTCCCCTGCAACTCCACGTGCTTTTAATCATTATTCAGTCGGGTTGTATGTAATAAGCATGTCCCTTCCTTCCTCGGCAGGTCCCCAAGTTTGGTCCCTTGGTCTTGATCCTCACTGACGAAAAGCTCCCCTCATTGAGAAACCCCAACCAATAGCAGCTCAAGACGTCACTGTCGAATCCTGCCCATACCCCCTCTCTAAGGCAATGATGAACTGAAGCCAGTCCCATGACCCCGCTATAACTTAACCCGCCCGCCGGGAGAAGCCAAGTTCCTCAACAAACATTGGATCCCAACACCTCTTTTCTTTCTCCTTCTTTCTCCTGATACAAACTTGATCTTCAAAAAACAACTCTCCAAAGCTCCCTTCCAAACCAAACAAATACCGCCACCATGTCTGAATCTTTCCAGAAGGCCGTCGAGGACTCCAAGAAGCTCACTTCTAAGCCCGGTCCCGACGAGCTCCTCAAGCTCTACGGTAATGATCTTCTTGTCTCAAATTTGCGCTTCTCAGCTAACTGGGAATCTCCAGCTCTCTACAAGGTCGCCAACGGCGAGGACTTCTCCGCTGCCCCCAAGCCTGGCATGTTCGATCTCAAGGCAAGCTCTATTCTCCTAGCCTCCATCGCACAACGACATGACTAACTCCTAGCTAAGGGCAAGGCCAAGTACAACGCCTGGCAGAAGGTCGTTGAGGATGAGCAGCTCACCCCTGAAACCGCTCAGAGCAAGTACGTTGAGCTCGTCGAGGAGCTCAAGGAGAAATACGGCTACGACGCCAACAAGGTGCCCGAGACCGTTGGTGCCTAAGCGTGCGATCTTTTATGTTCTACGAAATAGACAACCCTCAACGATGAAACGAAACAAGTTCGAAGAGTAGGAACAATGAAATACATAACAAAGCTATAAATGTGGGAGCCAAGTGATATGGGACAACTTCCTTGAGTTTTTTCTATTCTGCGCTGCTGATGGCGCATATCATACATAACTTAGACGAAGAGAACTAATACCCGTCCGTTTTTCTTTCGATGTCACTACCACAGAGTGCTCGTACCGCTAGGAATCAGATGGATGAATCATTTGTTCTCTTTTGCTTCGGGTTTGTGGGCTGCCATGCGGCCTCAATGTTCGTTACATGTGACATCACAGCTGACGGTCGATTATGACCAAAGTTGGGGTCCAAGTATCACGTAATTCTTTGCTTGTAATCGGATATTGGAGACTGCTTGTACACTGACTGACTCGCTCTCGAGCAAGCCGTGCGCATCTTCCCTGTCAAAACCCAATTGTGGACTGTGACTGACAGCTCGTATCATCCCAGAACCCTGAAGACGAGTCTCGGCTATCTAACCCGTGGTATAACTACAGATCTATCCGGCATACCCTTACGAAGGTACTTCAAGCGGTTGCTCTCCACTACCTAAGCTCAACAGTGTCACAGCAAATACTACACTCGATCACAGGTATCACGAATCTGTTTGTTTATGTGCAATGTTGAGTAAAATTGTCTACCAGGGCAATTATTAATGTCAAGTATACGAGGCGGAGACTGAGCTCTCGCAGTGACGAATAGTAACTAGAATTTAAGGTGTAAGTAGGTGTACGAAGACCGCGTACCAAGCGTATGAATGTATCTTTTCTGTTCCAAGCGCTGAGCGTTTCTCATTTCGTTGTAACTCATCCTCCTCATGCTCTTTTCCAAACCAAGAAAAACACCAAGCCGATCAACTCCGGTTGAAGTGGGACGTAAACTGAAGGATATTTGATAAAGGGGGTATTTCATCAGAAGAATATGAATCTCAGCATTGCACCATTGGTTTTCTCTAACAAGCATCCCCCAGACGTGTTTCGTATATGAAACGTCCCATTGCTCTCTTCATCATAAACTCATTATTTGCCATTGGCACCGTATTCAGCAGGCTTCTTGCGAGAGCCAGTGTAATCACGGGGCAGAGTGAATTTAGAGGAGGGCAAAGGCACCAGCAGCAGCGAGAAGCAGAGCGCTCACGCCGGTGAGGGAAGCACCACTGCTGATGCTGGAAGGCTCAGCAGAGCCGGGGGCAGACTCGGATGGCTGAGTAGGAGCGGCAGTGGCAATGGTGCTGTTAGAACCACTCCAAGCAGTGCTGTAGCCCGAGCTAGGAGCAACAACGGTGGTCTTATCAGCCTTGTTTGTGGTCTTAACGACGACTGAAGAGGTGGTAGGGGCGGCAGAGGTGGTAGGAGCCTCGGTTGAGGTGGAGTCCATAGAGGTACTGGTGATGTAGACAGTCGTCGAGGTGGTCTGGAGCTCAGAAGAGGTTGTGGGGACAGCAGTGGTAGTGGGCTCAGCAGTGGTGGTCTCAGCAACGGTAGTAGCGGTGCTGGTCATGAGCTTCTCGGTCTTGAGGCCGTCCTCAACGCCATACGCAGCGGCACACTCAGCAAGATCCATAGAGTCAGGGCAGCACCAGGTCTGGGCCTTGGTGTCGTGAGAGCAGTAGAAGCCCTTGTCACAAGAGTCTGTCGATACGGTTAGTGTTCAGATTGCTATGTACAAGCCTCATTGGATGGGTCTGATAGCACTTACTGCCACTGCCGTCAAAGCAGCAGGACTGCTTCACAGTAGGGTTGAAGCAGTGGGTTTGGTCATCCTCAGAAGGGCAAGACTCATATCCGGCACCACAAGCATCAGCGCAAGTCTTGCCACCACCACCACAGACAGACTGATCGGGCTGGTATCCGGGAGTAGAACGACGAGCGAAGCTGAGACCTTCAACGGGGCCCTTGATCAGCTTGTAAGGCTGAGGCGAGGAGGCAGCGTTGCTGGCACAAGCCAGAAGAGCGGCGGAGGCAAGAGTTCGGAAAAGCATCTTGACGACAGGGTATAACGATGGTAGTGGAGAAGCGGTTTCGTATTGAGTGAGCAAATAGCAAGCGAGTGAATGGATGATACTAGATAAAACTAGAATCGAGGGTATGCAGGTTTCCTGTTGTTGTTAAAGAACGTAACGAGTATCGATAAAATAACGATCTCTGAAGGATGATAGCGACGACAACAAGGATGGATAAAGAGGATGGTGAGAGAAGATCCAAGAGTGAGGTTGTAGAGAGATGGGGGTCTAGATGTAAGTAAATACCCGTGGGCAGGTGCAGAGACCACAGACCACGCCAAGTCCAGGAAGGAGAGACTCTAACTCCAGGTCTCGTCTCGGGAAGCAACAACCGTCGAAAAACTCGACCCTTCCTTCCCTGGCACGATGGGGACGGGTTTCATGGCCATGATAGGCTGGTGTTGCTGAACCAAGACGGAGGATAATGCAGAAGCAGCTGTGGCCCTGGTTCTCTCCTGGGGTTGACAGGGACAAGGGGAGCCCCTAATCCATCTTTTTAATTTAAAGTCCCCATCGTGGTTGTCTTCTATCACCACCAATGATTAGTCTCCATTGACTCTGGGAACAACTCGAGAAAACACCATGCCTATTATGGCCGAGGGGTAATTGGGACCTGATACTGCGATAGAGGAAGATGTTTTGAAAGCGTGCCCAAAGAGTTGGCATTGAAACGCAGGCAGAGCATACAAACATATAAGAGTAGGCTGTGCTAACTTCTGTGGTTCCAGATCTGCAAGACACCGTTCAAACTGATTTCGCCTCAGTTTACAACATTTCCCAGCCTGAATTCTCCCAGATGATCGCCAGCCTGGTTGAAATGACAGCTCTTTAGTACAGCAAACTAAATGGACTGATAGATTCTAGAGGTTGATTAGCCGCCCGCCCACACACTCCATCTCCAAGACCCAAGCCGGGCGCTACTCGGCTATAGTCTAAGAGAGCGCAATTTTATGTCAACACAACCAATTTGGCATGGACATTACTGAGAGCTAACTCTGCTCTTGTCGTAGAGAAATGAATGGTATTGCGTCTCGGTCCTTCTAAGTAAAGTGTTCCTTTTGTCTTTCCGTTCCTGCAAGATGGGAAGGACAATGGAAAGGTGTGGTTACCTTTTACGGCAGGTGCCTGAGACCTGCACACTGGGGCATGTCACCCGAGATGGTCTCTGAGTGGTCGGAAATGCTGTAACTTCAGGGGTCCAGTGGAAGCTGCAGCTGCCAACCGAAGCCCGTTGCGCTAAAAAGCCGCCTGATGCAGGAACAAAACAGACTTGGCGCTTCACCCATCGGAGTTTTGACCCAGTACGTACCGGCAACAAAGCCATCAAGAGAACATGAACTAATCGAATATTAACTTTTGAGTTTGGAATAAAGATATGGTACATATCCTCCCTCCTTCAAACCTCTTATCGACCATCTCTCTAGAGTCCTCGCCTCTCTTTGGATGAGAGACTCAACCTTCCATTGGTTTCAGGTTATTTAACCAGACCAGGTCATGCGCAATTAACTAGCAGTCAATTAACAGGGGCTCTATGGCTAAACCCAGCAACGTCAGTGGCAATCTTAATTTCAATCATGGTCGGTCTCTGCGTTGGTTCCCCAGACTAAGACTAACCTAAAGGACTGGTTTTATTGTTTGCGTCTGTGTGTTTTTCGGGCGACTCGATAAATTGATTAAGCAATTAATTAATCAATCAAGTTGGCTCTCATCACGATCTCGCCAACATGTGGCTGCTAGGACATAGCTTCAATGACGATGACGGGAGAGAAAACCTGTTGTTGTTTCGATGACCTGGTCGTGGAAACAAGCCCACTGACAACTCATCATCGGCTTTATGCAACAATATTTGGATCTGGGCCAAGGTTACATGCATTGACTACCGACTCTTAAATGAAACAAGCGGGCACAAACACGTATTGTTGAGCTGGCTCTCGTAAATGCAGCTATCCATTGATACGGATTAGCTAACTGCACACACTATGCATCCTCCCGTCCTCCATACTTCAGCTGGATCCATCTTCAAATATCCTTCGCCGACGGGAACCTACATTCCGAAGTGCTCTAATATAAAACAAATTACCAGTCCATCTCAAATCAGTGCTTCCTCAAGATCGTGCTGCACTTATCACTTGGCGTTCGGTCTAATTCCTCCGGATGTTGTCAAATTTTATGATCCTCAGCTAGCTTGTCGATCGGAGATTCGGCTCGCGCTCTGTAGTACAATACAAGTGATTATTCATGGAGTTGCTAACTCAATCTACTATAATAAAGAACCATACTCCGTGGTCTCGACCCAGCCCCCAAGACCTTGGGTCATAGACAGACTCTGTGAAAAAGCCGATTACCTGTAACACAACCACATTAACCTCTTCATGATCTCCCAGCTGCTGCCCCAATTCAAGAGATCGGCAGACAGCCCATTAATCACTCTAATGCTGAGGGTGATACAAGCTGTCTCTGAGACTTGCAGCGTGTGCCAACACGTTGAAGACAGTCCACAGGGGCTCAAGTGGTCGAAATAATAATCGAGACACCAAGAGCCTATTACCTCACCCAAATCGTCTCACTTCTATTGTGGCCCACCGCTTTACCATCCGGGCAGGGGCTCCTGTGAGATGGTAAGTGAGAGCAAGCCTACTCAACCTCATCGCCACCCATCTTAGAGATCCACTTGTTCATGTGGGAAAACTTGTCCTCAAAGGTCTTTTGGAGCTTCTCTCCGGCAAGCCACATGGGATCGCCCTTCTTCCAGTATGTGAAGCAGTTGTCAAAAATCTGGCGTACATCCCTGAGAAACTCTTCCTCGTCATTGTACTCCTTGCGGTCCATCTTGACCTTGATCGTACTAAGATCCATAGGTCGCTTAACCTTTTCGAAGTAGTCTGGAACGCCGTCTTCGACTGGCTCGACGGCATCTCGGAACGGACCAACAAGTCTGGTCCAGAAGCCTATGTCAAGAGTTAGCTGTTGTTGGTCTTCTTAGGGTAAACACAGTGCAACATACCAGGCCCAGATAGCATGCGAGTTAACAGGTCAGCGCAGAACTCAAGCTTCTGTGCTGTGGTGAAGTCTCTTGCTTCCGCGAACCCTGCGCTAGTTCGACGTCTGGAAGCAGGTTTGGGCAGAGAACCACGTGCTTTGATCGATCGATCCGCTGACAAAGGAGTGCTGACTGAGGTGCCACTTGTTCGCCTGCTCTTCTTGGCTTCGTTCTCCGGCTCATCTTCCAGATAATGAACGTTCTTTCGAGGCGTCACCGATGGAAGTGCGACAGCAGTAGGTTGCTCTTCTGGCGTGGGAACCGTATCGAAGGAGCTCATGGCGACAACAAGCTCGCTTAGGACTTCTTGAGGTAGCGACTTGGCAAACTCTGTCCTGGCGTCCGAAGATCTCATATACTCGGCAGTCCATGAGAGCAGCAGCTTCCTAATCGAGGACCCTTCAGGCGTATCTTTCCAGACCTGAATGAGAAGAGGTGTAGCTGGGATCGTTTCTGTGATGCGACGACAGTCGATCATGGCAGTAAGAGCCTTGTCGCAAAGCCCCTTGATACCGAGTTTGTGGCCCAACTTCCAAAGGCCAACAAGGGCCTCGTAGGATGGCACGTTAGACTCATCCGAGATGACCTTTTCTGTGTAGAGGAAGTTTTGGGCGAGTCCAAAGATTTCCTTTGTTGTCTCTGGGAGCTTGATGATGTGTTCAATCTTCTCGTCTTGGTTCGTCGCTGTAAAATGCTTTTCGTAGAACTCAGATCGGGAACAAAGGAAATCCTTCTGGATACCAAAAGGAGATTCCTCGGGGCCAACGAGGATAATGACGAAAGTAGGATGCGGCTCGCTGCCAATGATATCAACACATGTTCATGAAGAAGGTACTTTCCAAACATACAGCCAGGAGAACGGCTTGCTCTCTTCCACTTTCACGCTCTCAGTCTCCTTCGCGGCCGGGACACCAACCTCCTGGGTTCGGATCTCAGACATCGTGAAGTTGCAGCGTCTCCAAATAGGTGTAGCAGTTGATATTGTAAAATCGCGCTGTAAAGTTGGGTTTTGGAGTGATCAATTGATTGGGACTGTAAAGTTGTAGTAAGCATCAAGATGTATTCACAAATAGTCAGACAGTTTGCAAGTGGCAGTCAGTGCCAAACAATGAATTTACAGTTTCATGTATGCTTTCTCCAAGAAAAACCTTCGCTTCACCGCAAAGAATGTAATGATAAAAGAAATTGGATGAAGATAAGAGTGTTAAAAGAAATGGTAAAGGAAATATGCTCTTACCTGAACCTTCTTTGTTACTCTCACCCACTGTGCGTTCCGCCACGATTTGCGTTCTAATCTCAATTAAACCTCATCAAAAGTGTCTCCTGTATGAGATGCTTCACTTGTATGATGCTGGTCGATGAGGTAAAGCGATTGATGATGAGTCGAACTCAGGCTTGGCTTCTTGCCCTCAATCAAAATGGATGTGAAGCTAAGGCAGAAGTCGCGATGAGATGGTTGGCCAATAAGGTTGCTGATTCACACAGAGATCGGCCTGCAGATTGTCCGTTCCCGGCTTACAAAGTCCATTCCGATATACTTACCCTATACCGCCTAGAATCCAGGGCGCAAGCACTTCAGCACCAACGCCATTGATCAAAACATGAAATAAAGTAAAAGCCAACAGTGAGGAACAGTATTTTGCTTGCTTGGCTTGAGTTATAAGGTATAGTGCCCATTGCTTGCGATGATTTGTTGCTTGTAAGCTTGTAGTCCTGGTGAGATGCTTCCAACATCAATAACCTGACGCGATATGAGCTTTGTACATAGCTCACCAGGTACTACGATCTATTATCCCACCAAGCTCCTGGACTTATTTCAGATCCTGCCTCTCAACGTGAAAGTTCTCCTGACTCACAGTTGACTGTTAACGGAGAATGATATCTGGAACTCATAAGGATGCATTCACAAAGTGCCTGTTGATTGTGAACACTCATGCCTACAGCATATCTGTGACTCAAGCACGCACCAGTGGATTTCATGATGGTACAAGTGTCCTCTGATATTCAAGACCCAGGATGTTTCTGGTGTCTAGAATGGTGTGCTATTCTTAACCAGCAGACGACATGGTTCCAGAAGATACACAAATACGGTCAGTTAGGTAAAAGCAGATGCATGCATGTACGAGTAAGTAAGTGGAATAGCCAAGCACGATATCCCGATCCATGTAAAGGTTTCCGCGAATTTTCCAACTTGAAACCCTTATCTTAACACACATATAAGACTGGTTTGCATGCTTGAAACTCTACAAGAAAACTACCGTTACTGGTCCTTACTCGGCATGCATCATGACCAGCAGTATAAGATGCCATATAGCTGCTATAGTACGTGAAATCAGTTATCGAAAGCAATCCCACGGCATAGTTGGGGCATTATTCAAAGCTGCGGCCCATCGGGATCCGCAAAGAACTTACGATAGCCTGCTGCAGGAGCTTAAAATCGCAAGATGGGATGCAGGCGGCTTTGAAACCCCTGCCACCACAACAACACAAGAATCCAGAGATACACGGCGCCGAAGGAGTGTAGACATGGCAAGCCCATTCTCCATGGGGACCCCGTAGCTTCGCCTCCCCAGGTTTGTGTTTATTGGTCTCTATGGCGTGTTGACGGGGAGTTTGGGAACAAAGCGGGTGGATGGCCGCAGCCTACACACGGCTAACAGACCGCAACAACGGGCGTTGAGCCGAAGCGCCCTTTTTAAAAGATAGATCACGCGTTATTTAGACCACCAGAACTTATCTGTCCGGCAATGAGAGCAGATTATGTCCGCCGTTAGATGCCGAGGATCGTGTCCCAGATGATACGATCGTAGACTTCAGCGTATCATCCCGCACATCACGCGATAATGCCCTTCTCCTTCACGACGTCTGGTCCAGGGTAAATTCCCCAGACATCAATACAGGGCAAGTTTCCACATTTGCATGCGTGTAGGGAGAAGAAGCAGAACAGAGGAGGGGAAATATGAAGCTTCTTGGTGCACCATCACATGTGCGCGGGGTTAACGTAGTAAGATCGTCGGCCATCTGCCGCGCATATGCCGATTTAAGGTACCCAAGACAGAGGTGTAGACTAACCAACAGCTGTGATTGGGGAGGGTCGAGAGCTCCAAAATCCTGGGGCATACCAAGGAAGATCAGGCCAGAAGCTGGCCAGAGCGCTTGCTTCGACATTCCACATCTCGCGGGGTTCGCCTTGTGCCAGATTTTGGGCAATTCACCGACACTTTTCTTTCAGTTACGCGGATAATGGCTGGAGAAGGAGGAGGGATATAGTCACATTGTTGGGTTTGAACGATAGGGCCTAACAAAACTCCATAGACAGAGCATACATGTAAGTACATATGTATAGAGCCATCACAAGCTCACTGTAGGGAAGAAAAAAGCTGCAGCAGCAGCTGGGGATCTCTCGGACAAGGTATCCGCCCCATCGGCCCATGCTGATGGATAATCGTCCGAGAGTGCCCTGCAGGTATACCCTGTCCTTGAATAATGTTTTATCCAAACATGAATAAAACATGTATGCAAACAAGCGATTTGATCCGAGACGTCTTGGACGAACCGAGAAGCAGGATACGGATATAACTGGAATTTTCGAGTACAAGAGACATCAACGCTTTCCGCGTATAATGTAGCACCACCTCGCTGCGGTCCAAAATTCGTTGTCGAAGCCAACGCAGCTGCTGAATCTCACACCGCTAGCCCCTGCCGCTATCCACGAAGTTCCAAAATGGAAGTTGTACAGCATGTACGGGGTAGCGAAGTCGCAAATAGATCTGTGTCGTGTCGTATCCGGAACAGGTTCAATGCGAGAAACTCAGAGTAAAAAAAGCCAGCAAAATTTTCTCGACTGCGGACATGTCTCGGCACCACTACTGTACAGTCCCATGGCTAGTGGCATTCTTGAGAAGCGTCCAATCCAGTCTCATCTCGGCCCAACTTGTGTGAATGCCAGATCGTGAGATCTGGCGCGGGCCTGAAGCTTCACTAGTGCGCATCTGTTTTTTCTTTGCATCAAACGAGACCAAGTCATTGGCGAGAATACAAATACACTCAAGGCTGCAAAAGCCACGGCGGCGGTGTGTGGTGAAAAGCCCGCAACCGCAAAGCCGTTGAATTTCCATAACCCCTGGTGCCTGACATGGGGAGATCAAAATTTTCACTCGTGCTTCACCTCCAGATAGCCGCCATAGACGGCCGTGAATGATTTGTCGAGGCATGAACGCGCAATGCTCAATGGGATGGACCACCATATATGGCACAGTCTGGTACGATACTCCTTCGTAAAACAACACGCATACACCCGTTATTGGATACTCGGTATTTGGTTATCCACACAGCAGATGTCGTTGAATTCTTTGACGTTACCGGAGGATAGACAGCAGGGTTCGCCTTGTGCATTTCATGCATTGAATGCGCCAGAATCTGGTAGTATCTCCAACTAAGAATGCAGCGTAAATCTTATGGAGTAAGGGCCATCATTAAAATCGGGATAGCCTCCGATAGAAATACAAAGGCTGGCTGGTTGCAGCAGCTGCTGCAGCAGAATTGTTGACAATCCACCTCAAGGTGATGCGTCATTAATTGACTCATCCCTGCTTCCATGCGTCTTCTCCCGAGCTTCCTTTCAACAGACTATTCGGTTGACTCGAAGAGGCTGCATGTCCACGTTTCTTGGATAAATTCGCCACCGTCAAGGAAATAAAGTCGAAGGGTCGTAGACAGAAATTTGAGATCAACAAGATGAGGTAACGCTATGAAGACCTTCGCTTTGGGGTATCAATCGTAGACGCTACGGGGTATACAGGGTGGTGTGGTGTGTCTTTACAAAACCCGGGGGTCAGAGACACGCACGCAAGTATCTTTTCCCCATAGGTACTTCAAGATTCTCTTCAGAGAGCGACCGGGCCGGTGGGGCACGCACCTTCAGGCGCCACCTTATCGTTATCAGAGTGTAAAACCTCCGCCAGCCGTGAAGCCGTTATCCATGCTTGACTTGTTTTGGAATATGGATGGGGAAATGCCAAACGCAGCTAGGCTCGTTTAGGTGATCCGGTTCCTGGGGTCTTTGTCTAAACAGAAAATTCTTGTCCTTCCAGAAGCCCGCCCTAGTCTGGGGGAATATGATGCATGACGAAATGCTCTCAACCACGAACCACGACCTGGGCCACGATGCTTAACCTCATCAGACTACGGTCGGACTTGACCGAAGCTTCTTGGCATGCCGACTGTGGCCTAGCAAGCATGATGTGCGGCTTTATTGTGGCTCTCCCCAATCCCAGTTTGCGCTGTTTTCTTGTTCAATGCGGAGCCGTCATGGCTAATTGATAAAGGGGCAGAAGGGGCTCATGTTTTTCCTCATCTCGCTCCGTAGGGTTGTGCAGTGTCCTTCGTCCCGTTATGAGGCTCTGCCCATGCCTGGCGAGCCTGTCCTCCGTTTGGTCTCGGTCGCCATTCTCGGCGCTTCACCGGCGCCGAAAACCATCCCCAACAATCCCCAGACTCCATCAGTCCCATCCAGAGCCTCATCTCATGTTCGATTCATCGTCGGTGCCAGGCTCTTCGGGCTCGCTATTTTCTTCTTCGCTTTGTCCGACGTCTTGGCCCAATATGAGGTCCTCGCTGCCTTGCCACTGGGGCGGCGGCGCCGGCATGGCCGCTTCGTCTTCATCTGCCCATCCGTAATCTTCATCGTCTTCGCTATCTGGCACCTCGAGTTCGGTCTCCCCAAGTTTTCGCTTATGTTGGGCTAGCTCGAACGTCTGTAATGCTTCATAGGGAACCTGGGCTATGCCATCCTATTGTCATCATGGTTAGTGACGCTTGTTTGAAGTATTAAAGCCTGGCAGAACATACCGGCTCCACCTTAAATGCGACAATGTTCTCCACGGCCTCTTGGCATGCTCTGCCATCTACCTTTTGCAGACCTGCGAGGAAGACGCCTGTGAGACTGTTTTCCTGCCAGACCCAATCCCGAAACGTGACCAGTCTGGTCGAAACCCCTTGTTCCCATACGTTGGCATTAACCGCGGCTGTCAGTGTTGCACCCCTTTCTGAATGCATCTTTGTTGCACATTGAGACAAAACAACAATCGCGCAATTCCTAGTCGCGGCGAGTTTGTGAAGTGCACTCATTATTGACTGTAATGCTTGCCTGCGTTTCACTGATGGGCTTGGGCCTGCACAAAGGTTAGCTAGCACCACTCGCACTTGCTCCTACGTGCACATACCCTTGCTGTTTTTAGATGTAGACTTGCCATCGTGAGATTTGGGTAAAGCGGAATTGACCAATGCTGAAAAGGCATCGATTACAACAAGTGAAGTGTTTACGGGAATTAGCTTAGCCGTAGGTCTTGACACGAGAGACACCAAATGAGGCAGCGTGAAGCACGAATACTGGTAGAATCGAGCAGCGTCGCTTTCCTGAGCGTCTGTCGTCTCGACTTCAGAAGGCGACTGCTCGTTTCGACGAGCTTTGGCAGCTTTTGTTACTGCCCTCAGCCTTTCTGGTTGAAGAGGCTGGAAGCAATCTATGAGGGTAGTCAGTAATGACCGCAAATCTGAAAGTGGAAATATCGACCTATCCAGACTACGGCGTCACCATCACACAGCGCATTTGCTGTAAGCTGTAGGCTTCATCATATGTCAGCTAGGTAGGTCAGTTTCGTGAGAGGGCAGCAAACTTACCCAAGGGCTGTCTTGCCAGTACCAGGGGGGCCCCAGACCTCTGTCACTTGGCCTCGTTGAACACCACCCTTTGGAGCGGCATCTTGGGATTCAACTGCTACTGAGCCAAGGAGTGAGCGATCCAGATCTTCTATTCCCGTTGATACATGTGTTGATGCGTCGCTTCCAAGGTCGTCAAGGGCCTGCGAAGCTGATATCGTTGGTAGCCGGTCTGCTAAGGTCAGCTTGAGCTCCGCATAGTTGGGTGCATTATAAACTGACGTGTGCCTGGTGCGTCGAAGCTTGCTCTGTCATAGCCGTGAATCGCATGGTAATCCATTCTCGATATTCATGTCGATGCTGAGTCCCTCGATTCGTCTTGACCCGTCATCTGGATATCCAGGCAGCTGGTTATGGGTGGATATTTCCTTCTCATTATGTCGTCGTAGATTCCCGCCCGCGATTGGTGGGCTATCACGTGATGATCATAATAGAGGAAGGTGAGGTTCTATTGAGTGCCTGCCAACTAATGAACTACCTTAGGTGGACGAGAAACACATATAGATGTTCGAGATATTCTTCATGCTTGAACTCACTAAAGCCACATTCTTCACAATAGTTTTTCATTTGAACTCGCACTATGGGCAGTGGACAAGGTCACAGGCTCTAGCCCCATATACTTTGCTTGCTCTTGTCCTTGGCTTCAATCCCCAAATTTCCACAAAGCTTGATAAAAGTGGTTTATGGAGTCTTCAGAAGTTCAGCCCACTAACAATCGAGACACGACTGTCTAACCGGCGTGGCAAAATGCTTATTGCGAAGCAGTGGCGAGTGTGTTGAGTTGTCACAAAACACTCTCCGCCCTGGATATGAGCTGTCGAACGATTGGTTGGCAATAGTTATGGAGTTTACAATCTATCCCTGTATATGTACTACTCAGGATCATGCGATGCAAATAACCAAGCATGAAGCAAGAAGAAACTACAGAAGAGGAGTTTCAGAAGAGAGGACTGACACGATGATGTGGAGAGTCGAGAGTGAAGCCTCTCCGATCTAGGAGCTGGGCGGACCAGATAGTGCGAGCTGATCTGTCACGGTAGATCACCTTGACTCAAGCAATAGACGATCTTCACATACCAAATCTGGTCATGCCGCCCATTCCTCACGCCGTCTAGACTCTAGATTGCGTCTGGCTACGGGAGTATCCTGTGGGGTAGTTGACGCTACCCCATCCCCCGTGTTCCTGACCCCAGCAAACGAGCAAAAGTGCTTCTTTGTCACAGGAGGATAGTCTGGGGTGATGATAGGAAGGTGTTCTAAAAGACAAAGCACAAAGATAAGGAGAGCTGCGCAGTCTCCCCCCGAGGGAACGTAGTCATATGAGACTGATGGTCGACGCGTGCAATTGACCCGACCTGCAACGGCCTCTTCATCCGGAGCGGGCCTGTATCACGTTCAACCATGTTTGTACCCAGTGTCTGCTGTATATTTATGGAGGTTTCGAGTCTCTGGACAGGCAGACGGTATCTGCTTCATGTACCGAGAGTTCCTAGTTGCTTGATCATGGCCTTTACAAATGCCCAAACCTCAAGCAAGCTGCACATGTGAGGTTGCTTAACTCCTCACTACTAGTCTCTAGTCAACTCCGCAACTGGAGTCCCGATTTAGCACCGGCTTGGCTGATTTCTGGTGAGTTTATCTGGCACTTGTTAATCCCATAGACAGTGAGGCGGTTCATAGTGGCCGTGCACAAGAATTCAATGAGACGGCGGGTTGAAAGTCGCACACGGTTAGTTACGGTCGGTGACTGCAAGGTACCAGACCCTGCCAGCTGTCGGACATCGTCTACGGAGTTTGTCATGTAAACCCTTGACGGAATTGAATCATGCCTATATTAAGGGGACCCTTTAAGATTCGCTGAGGGGCTTTGCTACATCGAGAGCGGACAAATCCATTCGATGCCTAGGATGCACCGAGTATTACGGAGAAAACAGGTGATTCTTGGCGCAATGAACCAACTCATGCTTCCCATGGTCCACCTCGACGGGTCAGAAACTAGCGTGCAAGAAGAAGCACCGAAAGGCCGACTGTGCGCCAACTGTGCGTAGTCACGTTCAACAACAGTGTGTACACGGCTCGGTCGAAATCGGGATCGTGGATGGGAATAAGAACGAGTTGAGAGGAATTTCAGGATTTGGAAAGGCACGCAAGCTGCCAAGCCTCGATTGGTGTGTTGTTGTGTCATACACCCAGGACAAAGTTTTCATGCGACGCTTTAGGAAGGATCCTGACTCCTGTTTATGGGGAAGATTCCCTTAACTGGATGTCATTAGACCCTTGCCTGGCTCTCTTTGTTGCGCAAGAATTCAGCCGCCTTGCCAAATTATCCGCCAACGTGCCACTGGTGAGGGTGCTCGCGATAAGGAAACTCTAGGTAGCCTCCTTTATTGAGACTCGCCAAGCCGTCAAGGAGCCGCAGACCTTCTGCAAGGGACATAATGCGCCGGCGGCCTGTCGTTTGTGCATGGAAAAAGCTGGAGCCCCACGAAATCTTGCCTTGTTGTTGGCTAGAGATCTAGACCCCTGATCTACAGAGGGGGAGCCAAGCCGCCAATACAGGCTCTACAACGCAGAGTTGATATCAGTAGGGAGAGGACCTGGATGGTATTTTGATTTTCTGACTAAAAAAGCGACAAAAAAAAAAAAAAAAAAAA